GCCCGCCCCGCCCCAGCACTCATGTGGCCCCAGCATTTGTTACAGCCCTGACGGATCCAGGCGTAGGCTCCTTCGGGGTCCCCCTCTGTAGACCCCTCTGTTGTAGCTGCCTGTCTGGCCGGGTCCTCCCCTCCCCGCCATGTGGCATGAGCGTGTGTGGGACCCGCTGCGCACGTGGGCTGGGGGCTGGGTCCCCCGTGGCGTCCCTGTGACCCTCCCGCCGCCCGCAGGGAGAAGCGGCTGCAGGCGTCCTGCGGCCTGGCCCGCGTGCGCGCCTTCTTCAACGCGCCGGTGGTCATCTTCCACCTCAACACCCTGTCCTACTTCTCGTTCCTGTGCCTGTTCGCCTACGTGCTCATGGTGGACTTCCAGCCCTCGCCCTCCCGCAGCGAGTGCGTCATCTACCTCTGGCTCTTCTCCCTGGTCTGCGAGGAGCTGCGGCAGGTGCTCCCGCCCGTCCCCCAGGCCTGGCTGCGCCCCCCGGCTGCTTACCCGCCCCCGGCTGCCTGGGTCTGGGGTCCCACATGCAGAGGAAGGCTCTGGGACTCCTGCCAGGCAGGCCAATCCCCACTCACTCCAGGGGTCCCCCGTGCTCTTGGGGCTGCTGCGGGAAGCAGGAAGGCCAGCTGGCTCCCCACGGTGGGGAGGGGCGTCCCCTGTGCGCACATTTGCATATTGGGCGGGGCCAGGTGGCTGGGAGGAGCCTGGCATCACCTCCTGCATCACCTCGCCTGCTCCTCCTGACCCAGGGGCGGTGGGAACCGTCTCCCCCGCAGCTTGCTCTCCAGGAAGGAGCCGGCATTTTGCTGCTGGCGAGACAAGTGTGCCAGCAGGCCAGGCCTGCCTAACGGGTCCTCTCACAGCTCCTCTATGACCCTGACGGCTGCGGGCTGGCGAAGACGGCCCTGCTGTACTTCGGCGACTTCTGGAACAAGCTGGACATCACGGCCATCCTGCTCTTCTTAGCGGGACTGAGCTGCAGGTGAGCAGACGCCTGCCCTCGGGGCGCCTGCGCGTCTGTCCTGGCCGCGCGGTGGGCTCATCCCGCTGAATGCGTCATCTGTCCAGTGGGTGACCCTGCCCACTCGGGCGCTGCTGGGGGAGCAGAGGAGGGTGATTGGAGGGGTCCCTGTCACCTCAGATGGCTGCCCACGTGCACAGGCGTCGTCCCAGCCTCAAGGCTCCCTCCTGCTGTTGCTCGGCTGCTCCACACCC